GGGGGAAACGGGTTGGGAACGACCGACCCCCGGTCCCTTCCCTTCCACTGACTCCATCGTATCCCTTAACACAGCCGTGCTGGGAGGGAGCCCGGGGGGAACTGGGGGGAACTGGGGTGTCTGCAGCCAGGGCTGGGGCCGTGTTGGGTCAGGGGAGCCAGCGGTGCTTTCCAAACGCCCCCAGCTTTGGGGTCAGCTCTTGCTGATGCGGGAGAAGCCCCTGTTGCTCCTGCCCCAGGTGGGGTCGGGACAGCATCACTGCCCGTCTCTGGAAATCCCTGTGGACAATGAACTCTCCTTATTCCAGAGAGGGACCCAGAGTAGAAAGTTGGTATATTAAACTCTAGTTTCAGTTAACAGGATCAGACAGAGACGTGCTAGTTTTTCCCCCAGATTACTTTTGAATGTTGATGCTGAGCTGTTGGTACAAATACTTTGGGAACCGCAGTCTAGAGGAGAGATCCCTTTGCTACAGAGGTGCTGCGTGAAATGGGAAAAGGCCGCAGGAGAACCGTGTGTTGAGAGATGCTCACAGCCCCCTCACCCCTGGATAAAGCTCACGTGCAGAGGTGGCTTCAGAAACACAAGCAGGTGCTTCCCTTCGGGGCTGTGATGCTCCTGCCAAGGGCCCCTTTGGTTTCCTTCTGGCTGCGGGATGTTGCCAGGCCGGTGTCAGCTTGTGGCGCTGCCCATCGAGGAGAGGAGCACCAAGATGTTCCAGAGGGAATGAGTAAATCCTTCCCAACAGGTTGTATGTGAATTAGGTTGGATTTAAGGCCTTCAATAGTAGCCAGGGCGTAGCTGTGAGATGAGGAGGTTGCTCACAGCAAGATGCCCTGCAATAATTTCCTACCATGATCTGCCCGTGGGGATCTGATGGGTCCAGCAAGGAGAGCGCTCTTGTACGCTCCTACAGCGTTGGCTATAAATTGAACGTGAGCTCGTACAGCCAACGGACTGTAGTCCACTCTGCAGAAAGCTGTGCTGTGCCCAGGGGCTGTCCTTCTCTCCTGTTTCCCAGGGTGGTTCCTCTGAAGTAAGCACCTGGAGTTAGGGCTCTGCCTGCAAACAATCCATTTTGCAAGATCTTTGGTGCTCTAGGCCAGCACCAAGTCAGAGCTGAGGGCTGCACCTGTAGGCAGAGCTCAACTAGGATATCTTGGTGTGTAAATGGGAACCTTAGCAGCTCTGCAGCAAGGCCTAAGTAAATGAATTTTCTTTAGAAATTTCTTTGGATATACCAAATGTGACATAAATGGGATTATTTTTGCATTTTTTGCAGAATTCTGTGTTCTCTCCCAGCCCTGTTCTCCCCAGCTGCCCTCCAAGATTGTGTCCTTTATCCTTTGGCGAAGGAGTTGAGTTTGACCCTTTACCACCAAAGCAAATAAGGTAAATACTGCGTTACAGTCATCTAGTTTTAAAGGAGTGAGCATGTAAAGGAGCAGCCAGGCCTTATCAGTGCCTGTGAGTCAGGTTAATTTATTTGCAAAGCTATTGTTCCACGCAGCTGTACATTCCTGGACCTGGACATTGGTACAGGCTGAAGGAGTGTTCAGCCTCTTTCAATCCCATATGGGTTGGTTTTTTTTTTCCAGGAAGACTTTCCCGTATTTTACTCTCCTGCTTGTACTTCATTACACTGCTCCAAAATGTTGCCTTTCAACTAATTAACCAGAAGGTAATCATGAGGGAAGATCTTCAAAGCAGCCATCTTTCTAGGACTGTTTTATGAGGGGAAAGGAATTTTGCTCTTCTAACCTCATGGGTTTGTGATAAGTACTTTGTATCTTAGCAGCTGTGGCTGGTTGCGTGAACTAAAAGAAAAATTAATATTAAAAGAATGCATAATTAATTTTTTTTAATGCACTGCATCACTTCTCAGCCTGTGAATTATTCCCTTGAACATCATGATTTGCAGTAATGAGAAATGGAGGCTCCCAGTTGATTGCTGCACCAGCAGAGTCAGACTGATGCAATCAAACGGAAGCCTCACACAGGGGAGGGTAGAAAGCGTTGGGTGCCCTGGTGTGGGGAAGGAGCCCGCCCTGGTGTGGGGAAGGAGCCCGCCCTGGTGTGGGGAAGGAGCCCGCCCTGTCACTGGAGCTCAAGGCAGTTACCACCGTGAAAAAGCTAAAGCAGGGTTGTCACAGTGTGAAGGAGATGAAAACTTTCTTTTGCAATCCAGGCACAGAGGATTTTCTTGCCAGCAGAGTTTGATGTGCAAATTATAGTATTTTCGTGACAGTTGAATCTTCAGAGACGTGCCCCATGCCGGGAGCGATAACAGAGAACTCCCGTGTGACTCTTGGCAGAGAAGAACTGAGAAAATAACGTGTGCTTCCATGGACCTGGCACTCGGAGGAATGAGGATGCTTATGTGCAAAGCCTAAATGTGGATCTAGGCCTCTGGGTTTGGGCACTGGTGTTTGAAGGAGGTTCTTAGCTTCATAGAGCTCAGGCTTAAAACAATGGACATGAGGACTGAGAAGATGTTTGGTAGTGCTGGCAGCTGGACAAAACAGTGACAGTGCCGGGGGTAAGGCACTGATGTAAGGCTTTTGTCTTAAATGAGTGAGCGAGACCCCGGCAGGCAGTGTTTGTGTGATGTGGCTGTTCCTGTGTCGAGGTGGCAGGTGCAGGGCTGAGGGGCCACCACCCCAGTACCCAATGGCTCTGCTTGCCAGAAAACACAGAGCTCACACACGTGTTTTTGGTATTTCAGGTACACATCCTCGGTTAGATATGACTCAGAGAAGCACTTCATCGATGACATCTATATGCCAGTGGGTTTAAGCGTTTCTTCCTGCAGTCAGACGGTCATCTGTGTCCCCAACTGCACGTGGCGCAATTACAAAGTGGAGATCCACTTCGAGCCCCGCAACAAGCCCCAGCGTTTCACCAGCACCACCATCGTCTACCCGAAGCACGCCAAGACTGTCTACACCACCACGCTGGATTACAACTGTCGTAAGACCGTGCGGCGGTTCCTCTCCAGCGTAGAGCTGGAAACTTCGGAGTATCTTGGGAATGACTGTGTCCTGGATGGTTGCTGACTGATGACCATCTCTTGCTCTGATCCATCCCAGTCCCATCTAACGTACTGTGCTAACTCCACTAGCTAAAGTGGGTACAGACCCTCTTTCTCAGCTCTTAATTCCTGCTTTAAGCATCAGAATGGCCTAAATGCAGTTTTCTGTGGGAACATAACTTAGTAAGGAACTTGTTTCTTCACCTTTAAAGTCGTGAGTTCCCCTCCCTTTCCCCGCAGTGCAGTAAACCAATGAAAATAAGGGGGAATATTTTCCCAGAAAAAAAAAATTGAGAGGTAAGAAAGAATGTGGAATAGTGCCTGAGAGATGGAAATCCATTTGATGCTTTGTGGTGATGTGCAAAAATAAGGGCAGTTCGCTCTCTTGCAGAGAATCTACCAGGTCATTTGGTTACAGATAGCCAGAGCTGTCATTCATTTCAGTTTAGATTGCAAGACATTTTTCTCTAGAGGAACCATCTCCTGGAAATTACTGGAAAAACTAACAGAGAAAAATCTGGAATTATGCATTTAACAGATAAAAAAAAAATGTTATCCTATGGTATTCATGTCCAGTTTGAAGGTGTGAGTTGGAAAGAAGAGGAATTCTGAGTAGAGCAGGAAATAAACTTCTTTTGCAGATCCAGGCAGCAGAGAAAGGATCAGGTAATTAAAAGTTCTTTAGATGAATGGCACAATGTATCTTCTGTACTTATAAGGACATCTGCAGCGCTGCAGTCCATGTAACACGCCAGCATTTGTGTACTGTCTGTAGTAGGACTCGTAATGAAGACTGTCAGGCCAAACATTATCCCTATATTGTTGGAAAGTCAGGTCTTGACAGTGTGGTGGTGGAAAACCACCAGTGCCTGGTTTTCACTGATGTTCTGTCTACACTAAGGGAATTGTAACGAGGAAAGTTTCTGAAAATGGGCCGTGTGAACAGGAACCGAGAGCGGAGAGGGAGATGTGGGGATCAGTGTGAGACGCTGTTGGGGTTGTGAAGAGGTAGCAAAGGACAGGCAAATTTTGATTGCGTAGCAAAATCCACAGCTGTAGCTCTGCTTCCCCGTTGAGCTTCTCATTGCAAAGGTCTGTGTCCTCTCTGGACGTTGATATTCAGGATGTCACTGAGATGGGGTAGTATTTGCCTGTCTGTAGGCTGCTGAGTAACCCCTCCAGTCCCAAGTGCGTGATGAGTTTGGGGACCAAAGGGAATAACTTCAGATACTACGAAAGGGCATCTGGATGTTAGGTGTGTTAGTTTATCACGCACTTCGATGCAGATAAGATGGAGAGGTTTCTTACTTTACCCAGATGGGTTTTTTTTATATTGACAGAGAGCAGTGTAGTGTGGAGAGCGTCTGCTTTTGGGAGCATGGTGGCTTACGTTGGTGGCTAGTGTGGTGTAGCAGCTCAGAAACACTTGGTAGACTTGACTTAGCTGGACATGGCTTTTCCACCTGTTCCAAAACTCCTCTGAGGTGCGGGTCACCTTCTGGTGCAGTGCTGGACCTGGTTTTAAAGAGGACTTGGCTGGTGCATAACCTCAAGAGTGAATTTTATCAGTGGTGAGTTAAGAAACTCGGGAGCCTGTTCTTGAGCTGTACTCAACGCGTGTTTGTGCAAGTGCGATGAATGGTGTGGAAGTGTACTCTAGTGTGAACTGATTTGGGAGACTAAAAATGCAGCAGGAAGGAAAGCTTGAGTTTGTGTGGTTTGGCTTTTGTGTTGTTTTGGTTTTTTACTTATTTATTAGCTCAGAACAGAATGTCCTTAATCTTTGGTACTTGCCTCAGAAAACCAGATCCTAAAACCAGGGTGACAGAGGATGCCAAGTCAGGTAGGCATCGCTCCAGAGTTGTTAAGTGCAGCACAGTCTTCTCAACAAACATGTTGGTTTCAGACTACAGTGTTTAGGAGATGCAACTAAAATACATGTCACGATTCTCCCTTAAACATTGCCCCAAGATATAATGGTTGTATAACAGAAGGCACAACTCAGCCCTCAGTGTGTGTGGGATTTCAAATGGGCAGGACTTTTCTTTGGGGAAGCTATTGCATCACGGCTCGCTTCGCAGTTTTGTGTACCTTGCTCCTGAAACATCTGGTGCTGGCCACTGTTGGACACAGGACGCTGTGGAACACAGGAACACGGACCCTCGATTGCTTGCTCTTCCAATGAATTTGTTTGCAGGAGACCTAAGAGAAAATTATTTTAAGTTGTAATCGTTAATTGTCCCTAGTTAAATTAGAAATTAAATGACCCTTACACTATGGTTTTATGGTAAAGCAACTAATTTTTATAAAGCCAACGAGATTATGTACCTCTCAAAAATATTTTAATTGGTAGAGATACCTTTTAAATTATTTATGTTCCAACATTTGCAAAGCTCTGATTAGCTCTGTGCAAGTGTTCTGATGTCTCTGACGTTTCCCACTCCCCCTTTCTAATTTTCAATTTGTCTTTTACTTTATTGGTAATAAATGATCTAAAAACCATCATAGAGGGAAGCCTCCTTATTTTTCATTCAAAGCTTTTCAGTGTTTATTATGATATTTACGTAGTAATAAATAATAAGATGTGTTGCTGTTGTTTACATATTCTAGGAAGGCGTTTACATATTGTAGGAAGGTGTTTCCTATATAAAACCAAATATTGTGGTTTTGCCATTTTAGTAAGGGACTTGAAAAAGTGCCTTGAAGACAGCTGAAAACCCTCTCCAGTATGTATTTGAGTCTTTCATCTGATATAGTTTTATTTTTAAAGAGAGTTTCTGGTATGGATTTCAGCATATCCTGCAAGCAAAGCACTTATCTTTTTCAAATATAACAAATATTTAACCAGACCAGAATTTATCTTTAATTTTGGTTAAAAATGTAGATGCTCAAATGCTACTTTAGTAAATACAGCATAAAAATAAGACTAGAATGTGTTATGTATTAAATTTTATAAAAACAAAATAGATGGTTACAACTATTGTTTTGAGAGAAATGCTGTAGTGTTTTTCTGGATTCTTAATCTGTTCTTTAAACCCTTCCAAATTTGCAGGCGTGCTGATTTTGTTAGTATCTCTGGCAGAGTAGAAATGGGTGCAATTGAACGTCAGTTAATTAATTCCTAATGGGATTTTTTGCTTACTTTTTATTGTTCATCTGGTTATCTGCTTGCAAAAGCTCCACATTTGCATGTAATGACATTATTGGGATCTAGGGAGCTTTGAAGCTATTCTAAAGCGTACCGCTGCTCCTGCGAAAGTCTGTGCAAGCATTTGAGTATTGTGCAGTGTTTAAACTGGTAAACAGGAGAAAAGCCAGATATAAACATCAGCTGCTGTATAAAAGACAATCCATTTGATGAACTATTAAGAAAAAACTGTAAAAATCAGAAGAGTGTCTTTCAGGAGGGCTTCAGGAAAAACTTTCTGTCCTTTCAGATGTGCCATGTAACTTCCAAACAGTTCCTTTAGTGTGGCCTGGGCTGTTTAACATTGTAGTAACACTCTGTGTGAAAGATGTTCCTTTACTATGAGAAGTTGAAGTAGAGGAGTACAAGGCAGCCTACTGCTTGACGTGATTTTTAATTCATATTGACCAAATGGGCTGCTGGTTAGTACGTACCATGACAAGGATAACCCCGTTGTTATCGATGTGCTCCATTTTCCTTGGCTATATGCTGTGCTTCGCCAGAATGTCAAACCTGAGGGTCTGATACCATGAATTTTTATAGCAAAATAAAATACTGTACTAAAAATTCGATCACAAGCTAGGAGACGAGGGCTGGATTCCAATCCCAATTTTGCAGCTCACTTGGTTTCAAGTAGCAGGTAGGTTTGTGTGCCTGCAAATCATTTTAGCCTCCAAACAAGATATCCAGTCATTCAGCTGCCTGCACTCAGCTTCCCCATCTGCCACAAGGGCTGTGCTTGCTGCTTTCAGGACCAGCGATTCACGACGTGAATACCTGAAAAGCTCTGGTGTAATGCAGTGAGTATTCTTTTGAAATAACCTAATAGCAATAACTAGAGATACTCCAGGACAAACAAGCAGTATGGAAAGGAGCACTTAGAATTGTTGAAGTATACTGAGTTGCATCTGTATTTTAACTAACAGGTTGGTTTGTTTTTAAAATATAAACGTCTTGTTCTCCACACAGATACAAGAGTAATCAGTGCTAAGCTACAGAACTTGTTGAGAGATTTTGGGTGACCCCACTGGTTGCAGCTTGGATACTCTGCTAGCTCGTTGAGCATTTCATGCTTGCTCTTCCAGAAAATAACTGCAGCAATCTTCTTTACATACTGCGTGGTCGCTGCTTGTGCGTGACGCCCTGCGATGGAGTAATGGGGAATGCCCGACAGTCGGGCATGGCTCAGCAGGCAAATGTTGCTGGATATACAATTCATACCGTTTCCTTCTGTTCATCTTATAGATACGCAGCCTTTCTTCCTCTGCTACAGGATCTTCAAGAATCCCATCCCATCGAAGGCTTTCATTAAGCTGAGCAGAAAGATCTTGATCTGTTTGACTAGAGTCCAGAATGGTGGAAGCTGATCCTACAACAACCTTCTTTATTTCTGCATCCTCCTGATTCTCTTCTGCATTATTTTGGGCTGAGCCAGGGTGCCTCCCAGGACCTGGGATTTCAAGCGATGGAGGCGAGCTGGCCTGCTGTTTTTTGTTTTTCTGGTAGTGTTTATCTGTTAAAATGATAAACGCTGTTAGCAAAAATGTGTGCACTGCCTCTGAGGCTTTCCTGCTTGTTTCCTAAAGAGATGGATGAGGCAAGTGCTTGCTGTGTCTTTACATGCCCATTAATAAGAAACCAAATCTATAAGAAAATATTAATGGCCTAAAAAGTACATTTTTAAATGGGAAATACGTATTTATCAGATTGGCTAACATAACATTTCTCACACCTGTAAAATGTATTTATTGAGGCTCTATTTATTGAGGCTGTTAATGCATTAATAGCACTTCTACACTGGCATCAAGTTCACTGTGCTTGCCTAACTCAGTTTAGGC